TTTTTTTAAATTTCTTTTTGTGTGTGTGTCTGAGTTCAAAAAGACGCAGCAGCACATAGGCACCTACATAATATGCACACACACGTACATACTCTGTTCAAGCCTGTTTCAAAGCCTGTGTGTGTACTCTGTACCTGAGGCCATGTAATCAGCCTCAGTGAGTTCGACTCCCTGCAGTTTCCTCTCAAGGATGTGATATATATATTCAGTTCCAAGTCTTGGACTGATTTACTGAGAGCTGCTCACTCTGCTCAATTCATTGTGTGCAAGTTCACTGTGTACTCTTTCTTCCGTAGTGCCATTGAGCCTCAGTTTACTGGTTCGATTTTCTTTATGTATGTTTTCAGCGGTTGTCAGTGCGATCCCGGTGCCAGCCCTGGACTCGTCTCAGTATCCTGGTATCCTGCCTTCACCTTCCTGCAGCTTCTCACACAACAAGTTCAGCCTGAGACCGATGCCTTTCCCCAGCCTGACGGTGGACAGAGGTTACACACCAGGTACCACAATGATACGACTACTGATACTGATGACAATACTGTAGAGAAATTCTCCAGGTTAAAATAACAGAACAACAGAAAACAGGTACATGTATGTTTCTGGTCTAGAGCGAATATCCCCGCCAAGGCCCAACAGTCCCTTATAGGTTCAGTGTGTAAGATTTAGGTGAAAGGAATTTTTGGCAGAAATAGAATAAAATAAAAATTAATCCTAGTGATGTTTTCACTAAACTTCTAAATTGCATTATGTTGTTTCCTTTACCATAGAACGGATCTTTATATTGAAATACTTTATATTTACATGGAGGGGGGTCCTCTCTGTGGAAGCCGCCATGTTTTTTACAGTTGTCTACACTGGACAAACTAGAACCTTTTGAGTTTTCATGACAACAGGTTATATTCTCTCTAGATGTCACTAAATTCTACACACTGAACCTTTCAGTTAAAGCAAGCCTTGCAGTTAAGGCCATATTATATTTTCCAGCTACACATTGGTGCCAGTTACACATTTCTCTTGGTTCCCTTGTGTTACTGCACAGTGGTTAAAAAACAACCTCACCCCTGTGGAACCACATTTAAATCCACTAGGCCCAGATAAGCATGACATTTCACCTGCCCTGCATTCCTCCCCCAAGTTTCTTAGTAATCCATCCCATAGTTTTCCTGCTAAAAAACAAACAAACCATTAATGCAGATGCAAACATAATCTCTTTGGCAGAAGTAATTAATTTGTGTCTTTTTTGTATTTGAGGAAGTTTACTCTTCAGAAAATATTTTCCAGAGTTTGAGTTCTAAAGCTCTTATCTTCAAAGCTTTTTCTCTTGTAATTTTAAAACTTGGATAGTGATTTAACACACATTTGTTTGAATTAAAATCTTTGAGATACCACTTTAACCTTAAATAAGAACAACATCTTTTAAACTACATCTTAATCTTCTCACTCCTCTCTCCACTATCCTTCCCCTACTGTCTTCTTACTCAAGCCCCAGTTTGCAGAGAAGCTAAATGCTAAACGACATGATTGGGAGCAATAATTCAGTAATTGACTAATTCCTGGTTGGCTTGTATCAATGATTTAACAACAGCAGAGACGAGAAGAAGCTTCAGAGTTATTGAATTAGCCGACCCACTGGGAGGGCTGATCACTGCTGGCAAAACACACTTATGCACTGATGGAGGGGCGGGACGAGGCAGCTAATGATGGAACGAAGCAAATATAATGAGAGAGAGACACAGAGGCTGTTAAAGAGGCAGATTACATAAACTAAAGTCGCCCAATGAGACACAACAGTAAGCTTCTGATCACAATAAAAAGATCGACTGAGGTCAGACATTGACGTATAGAAAACAAAACAAGCTAATTTATTATAAACAGAATAATGACTGTTTAAAAAATGGGAGGGGTGATACCAGCAAAAAGAGCAAAAGATGTGGATGCCACACAATTTCGCACCCAACCATTCCCTGCTGCAAAGAATCTAAACTAATCTAAAAGTAAAAAAAACAGCAAATCTTTATCACAAACTAAAACAACAAACCAAAATATTGAGAACCCAGCAATCTAAAAAATGCTGAGAAGAGAAAAGAGGAGGAAAACGTGCCACCAGCTCTCTTCTCTTGGCCTCAGGCTCCCCTTCTTCTCTTGGGTGGTTAATTGATTTCAGGTGTCCCGCTCTAGAAGGAAAAGAACACGTAAAGGAATGACAGAGCACGAGAGAGAGAGGAAAAAAAAGATGCAGCCACAAGCGATGTAATGCGCCGCGTGACACACAGAGAAAACCATAACATCACTTTTTATTGGGAAGTCATCACGGGCCAGTGTGAAATCACGTTAGATGATTATACATATAAGTCAAGCTCACAGCTGATGTATCTGCAGATGTTTTACCTACCCGGAAGACGTAGCGCAGACATCTTTTTTATAATCTCTTGTCTTGTAAATGCAACAATGGCAGAAGCTCTTGGCGAGCGACCGTCACCAGTATCTGACAGCAGAGAACATGTACATATTGCACCTTTAAACGTTGATGCAAAATTGATTGGTGGTCCTACCGAATGTTATTTTAGTGGGGCGCTTGTTTTTAGTTATTTTTATGCGTGAGGGAGCTGATAACGTGTTACAGACTTCTTCTCCTGATAAAGGGAGTTCCTCTGACACAACCACCAAATAATCCTTGAAGCTCAATGACCCTGAGGCAACATGACGATCGACATGGAAACTGTGACAAACATTTTGAGATTGAACGTGAGTTGGTCAAGTGCAGAGACTGACTCGTGCTGGACCAGTTGACCAATCAGAGCTGACTGGACTTTATCAGAAGAGACAGGAGCTAAAACCAAGTGTTTGAGGCAGAGGCTGAAAAGAGATTAGAGCATGAAAACATTTTACAGTAATAATACTCATTAATATTATCAACCAGGAGTTGAGTATGTCTCCTTGATGTTAAGTCCTCTGACCTGAAGGACCATTTACTGGCTGATTTTCTCGGCCCTCTGATACTAAAATAGCAACTGTACCAGACTTTTGTCGTTATGGTACGAGTAGCATGTTCATTGTGTTGGAAGACACAAGCTGCTTTATATGTCTACTAAGAATGGATGATTCTCTCTGTCAGCTCCCTGAACTGTTAAACATCTCAGTTCTTTCTATTTGATTTCTCTCTCTTTCCTCTTTCCCCTCTCATCATCCAACTCCAACTTTTCACACTAGTCCTCGCCGACTCTGTGCACCAACAAGGCACATGTGTTGAGGATAGTTTTGTGCCTTTTACTTATTCTTGGACTATTTCAAACTACATGGGGAGATCCTTTCAGTCTTGGCTCCATTGTTTATACACGGCAACAGCTGTTAGCAATGTGCAACACAAGGATACTCCATGAGGAAAAACCACAGATTCCTGCGGAGATAAGAGGGAGGAGGGGATGCAGTGCTGGGAGAAGAAACAACAGTACAAACTTTGCTTTCCTCCTGTGATTTTGGGGAACGTTAAGCTGCTAGCTGTTAGCTAGCAGCTTAACGTTATGTTACCTCCCGCAGGAGTTCTTGCATGTCATTGCGAGAACTGTCTACATCCCCCTGTCGGCTGATGCTGCAGCAGCCTGCGGGCTCCTACATACTGTTGTCTCACAGCTGCAGACATCGCACCCCCAGTCCCCCTCCTCATCTCAACCATGCTTCCCTGTCTTCAACTCTCCCCACCTTCACAAAGAATGACGAATGCCACACCGGGGACAATAAAACACTGGACTTACTCTATGCAAATGCTAGGGATGCATAGAGCTCCCCCCTCCCCCCACCTGGCTGCTCTGATCACAACCTGGTTCATCTGCTTACATCCCTGTGGTGGAAAAAACCCACAACCAAGAGGTCTGTGAAGAAATGGTCTGAGGAGACCAGCATGGCACTGAGAGACTGTTTTCGAGACCATGGACTAGGAAGTGCTGTGTGGGCCACATGGGGAAATTGATAGTCTAACCCACTGCATCACTGACTTTATTAATTTCTGTGTGGAGAACCCATCAAGAGCTGGGCAATATGGAAAAAAATCATATCACAATATTTTTTTCATATCAGTCGATAGGGTTAGGATCGATATATATCACGACATAAATCAAATAACCCAAAAATCATTTTTTTGCACTTTTGTGTTTATGTAAAAAAAAAAAAATTCTGATGCACAAAACAGATGCTAATGGGTATTTATATATATTTGTTTTTTTTCAATGTCATATCTGATAGAGATTTGTTAATTGATATTTGTCTTTATGGTTTGTCTTGTAGGAGGGGCTTCCACTATAAAGCCAGTGGGTAGATGCTCCTCGAGAGTTAGTTAAGCTTGGGCCTGGAGGCCATGTGTACGAGAGCCCACGAGTCAGTGGCCTAGGAATGGGTACTTGACTTCAGTTTGAAGAGTGTTTGTTTGTTTGTTTGTTTGTTTGGTGTCTTTTAAAAAAAAAACTCTCAACTCTGCAAATTCCCACATTGCACGGGACTGGTAACTAAAATAAATGTAAGCACCGGGTGAACATCTCGAGTCATGTCTCCTTCTTCCACCATGGGGCTCAATATTACAGCATTGTTTTGTGTTTTATCGCCTCCATCAAAGCAAAAACTATAAAAAAAAAAATGCTAAAGCACTTTAGGATCATGTATCAGAATATTTCTTCAAATTCTGCTCTCACTTCTTCCACTTTAGCAATGCCCTCGGAAATCTCCACCAATCCTCTCCTCCAGCAGCAGCCTCCACCACAACAGGCCTCTCCCCTCCTTCCGGGCTCCTCCGCCCCCCCCATTGAGCACGTTCCTGTGGTCGGTCCAGTCCCGGGCGCTCCAGCTTCTGCTGCAGCCTCTGAAGAGGTCCAGGCAACGAGTGCTCGGACCATCCCCACGGCCTGTGTGCGGCCCACGCACCCGCTACGAAGTTTCACCAACCCACTGCTACCACCACCCATGGGGACCATTGACCCTAAGGTGTACACGTCCATGCTTCCGCAGGCCAGTGAGTACAAATGTTTGTTGGGTGTTTCACAAATAACTAAAAACAGATGTTTGGTCCTCTTTAGTGTGTGTGTGTGTGTGTGTCAAAGCAGGAAACTAATGTCACCAACCACATTATGACATCATATGACATAACATGAGACTTCACGTGATGCATTTTGACGTGACACTAAACTTACATAACGATATGAGGTGTAATATGGCAAAAGCTGAATATATGAAGTTCTGATTGAAAAGAAATCTCTCATTAGCTCCGGTTTGTGTAATAAAGTTAACTTGAATCAGTTATTTTAATTTAGTTAACTGTGGAAATCACAAGCTCGTCAATCAAACACTTTTGTCCACCTGAACTTTGACCTGACGTTTCCTCAGACGCACCATGTTTCCATTTTGACTTTGTCACAACCAACCAGAGAACAGTTCTCTCCAATGTCACTGAGAGCGGTGCGTGTGTGTGCGCGTGTGTGTGCGTGTGTGCGTGTGTGTGTGTGTGTGTGTGTGTGTGTGTGTGTGTGTGTAATGTCTGTGTGTGTAATGTCTGTGTGTGTGTACGTGTTTCTGTGTACGTGTGTGTACATAATATTTTATTGAGAGAAGAAAAATGCATGAGCCTCAGGCTGCTACAGTTTGTGTGTGTGTGTGTTACAGGATGTACTGTAACTGACTTTGACGTTAGCCAGAGGGTTACATCTGATCTAAACTGGCCTCTCTCTCACTCCCTCTCTCACTCCCTCTCTCACTCCCTCTCTCTCTGCCTCTGTCTCTCTCAGGTCTGTATATTTCTAATGACATAAACCCGACACAAACATCACATGATAAAATACTTTGAGGTTATGTCCAGATCACTCTTTAACAACAACAAAGAAGCTCCTTTATCTAGTTACCCTGCTAACCAGCTAGCCACAGCCAGTTTCATCACTTGCTGGTAGAGAGTCACAGTTGAAGAATGAGAACACCACAGAGGACGTGTTATAAAATCATGTCTTTAAACAATAATCACTGCCTCCACAGGTCGTAGCAAGAAAACTTAGAAATGATCCTTTAACATCTCACGAATCCAATATAACAACTGGAGAAGAGAAAAAGAGCAAACAAAAGAAGAAACAAAAACTCATCCTGATTTTAGACATTTTGTCTCTTTATACTAAACATAATTAGTGTGTTAGCTGTCTGCCACCAATTAGTACTGAAGGGAAGAACAACATATTCCCTTATCCCCTCGGTTTTCTTTACTTTCTATCTCCTCTTTCTGTCATCCATCCTTCTTTATCTCTTTCCCTCTGTGACTCATACTCTGTTTCTCCCTGTGATCACCTGCAGATGCATGAACACATAACAAGCCTCGTGCATATGATCACTGTGTATGAATATAAGGTTTTTTTATTGTGGGTGTGTCTCTCTGTCTGTCTCTCTCTCTCTCTCTTTCTGTGTCTGCATGCATGTGTATTTACTTCCATTACGGCTCTGTTTACACGCCCAGGTGGCCTCAGATTAACATTGATTTTCAGCTCCTGGAAACCTTTCTCTCCAAAATAGCGAGCCTGCGGCAACAATCGGCAAGACTCTCCGTGTGACCCCCAGCTCACCCTGTCACCCCAGACAATAATTCACAAGACCAGTTTAGAGGCCATGGTATCAAGGTCCCACCCATGCAGCTGTCAATCATGACATTTTAATATCATAAAATAGCTAATGAAAACCAAACTGATCAGAAACACTTAATCAAACATCAGTGAGATAAGAACTTCCTGAAATGACAGAAACCATCTTTGACGTTTATTTAATGTCTACTTTAATGGGTCCAATGGGTCTGCTAACATGGAGGAGGAGGGGTTTATGACCTATACTGCAGCCAGCCACCAGGGGGCTAACAGAAGGTGTGATGACATTTATCCATCAATACTTGCCTCCTTGGTTCTGTGCTCAACGAGAACAGGGTTAGTGGCCTGTTGTAATTGAGGCCTGAGCCAGGAACCTACATTTAAAGTGGAACAAATCAAACTGCAATTATGTAGCTGCTGTGAAAACAGATACGTTTGAATTAGAAATATCAGCCACTTCTATGTTTGAGTGGAGCAAAGAATTTTCACAGAATCGAGGTCCCCGTCTTTGTTAAAACTTATTGTTCAAACTGAGATCTTCTTCTCTTTTTAAATTGAGTTCCCAAAGCTCAGAGGAAAATATGATGGTGGGCACTTACTTAACTTAATTTGTCCTGAATGTACAGTTTAACGCTGGGAGCTAAGACTCAATATCTGAACTAAGAAAAGCTGGAGGCAGAGTCAGCTGTGCTGGATGTCTGTAAGTGTTTTTCTTCATCTTGCCCAGAGGACGCACATTTTTACCAATGAAAAGCTTTAAGATACATTAAAATTTTTCTCTGTGGCACTTAGACAACTGTGTTGGACAAAATGGAAGATTGAAACCTGTGCTCGTGTTTAAAGTCGTTCTCAAATCACACATCTGAGTTTTCAAAATTATACAATGATTCTAAATTTTATTGAAACAAAGTTATGTAATAATAGTAATAAACTATGAAATATCAAATCAACTTAATTTGAGAAAATCTAAAATAATGAAATGTTTAAGCAAGATTATCAGGTGCTAAATCAGGACTATCAGACAGTAGCTTTATTCCTTTTGAATGTTGTAGAAATGTTTCTCCATACATTTCAAATGAAGGGAAATGGCTCCAAGTCAAGGAGCCAAAATATTTCATGGCTTCTGTTTAGAGACAATTTTCTTCTGTGAGCACGAACATATGAATCACTTGACCTGTCTGCTGCTCCCTCATTAGTCCGGTAGACAAGTAGACTGCAGACATAAATAAAATGAAAAGCAGAAACACTGCGCCGCTGTTGAAAGCATGAGAATGTCTGCTTTCTCCCTCTGGAGACTCAACATTTCCTCAAAGACTTGATTTTAAAATGTTTTTATCTCAAGCTGTCCTCAGGATCAATAACCCCGCCCTCTCCATCTTCACCTCCCATCGCTGTAAATCTTCCCCCCTTTGCCTTCGACCCACAAACAGACAGACGCTGCTGATGTGAACCCCAGCGGGTGTTTCACACCTCCACTCCAGCTTGTCTGGTAAATATATCTACCTCTCTGAGCAGTCGAACCGCCAGTACACCCCCACCTCACCCCATTCTCTGACATATCCCCCGAGGGTGAGCCAGGCACCGTGAAACTCTCTTTTATGGCTTCTTCCAGTGCGGATGTGTAACCTTTTCTTCAGCTCTGCGCAGCTGCAGCTCATAGTGTTTTTCTGGAGCTTGTTCAGTTTAGATTCAGTCTGACAGCAGCATGCTCAGAAGTCATACCAACACATTTGGTTCAGCTTCATTTTAGAAATGAAGCTGGCAGCGGCGTCAGCACATTTACAGAATACAGACATTCAGCGCCACACAAGGTCAGTGTGAAAATAAAACACGGTGGCTGAGAGATACTGAGTCTTGAGTTACTCTTGTGTCCTTGTAAGGTCATAATGTTTCACACAGCTGAAAGTTTTGACAAATGGAACCCTAACTTATGAATAACCCTAGCCTAACTCCCACAGGTCATTAGAGTGAGAGTATGTGTATCATAGCTTTCTGATAGTTGTCTGCAGACTAACGTGACAGAGCAGATGCTTTGTTACAGGGAGCCATGCAAAGTCTTCATTGGAAACTAATTAGAAAAAGATTAAAAAGATGCTTGGCTGTTGATTGTATGAAACATTTATCACTGTCGAGGAGTTAGTTGGGAGAAGAGTGGAAACACTATTTTCTTCTGTGCCATTGTTGTTAACCTACACACACTTGGAATGACCAGCAGAGGGCGACTCGACTGGTAGTTTCTATAGAAGTTTAGGAGTGGCTTGACACAAGGAATGTGACAGTTGTAGCCCATGTCCTGGATACGTCTGTGTGTGGTGGCTCTTGATGCACTGACTCCGGCATCAGTCCACTCCATGTGAATCGCTCCCTAATTCTTGAATGGCTGTTGCTTCACAGTCCTCTCAAGGCTGCGGTTATCCCTGTTGCTTGTGCACCTTTTTCTACCAAACTTTTTCTTTACACTCAACTTTCTATGAATATGCTTGGATACAGCGCTCTGTGAACAGCCAGCATCTTTAGCGTTGACCTTTTGTGGCTTACCCTCCTTGTGGAGGATGTCAACGACTGTCTTCTGGACAGCTGTCAAGTCAGCAGTCTTCCCCATGATTGTGTAGCCTACTGAACCAGCCTTAGAGACCATTTAAAGGCTCAGAAAACCTTTGCAGGTGTTTTGAGTTAATTAGCTGATTAAAGTGGGACATCGAAAGTCTAGAATATTGAACTTTTTCACAATATTCTAATTTTCTGAGAGACTGAATTTTGGGTTTTCATTAGCTGTAAGCCATAATCATCAAAATTAAAAGAAACAAATGGTTGAAATATTTCACTCTGTGTAATGAATCTATATAATATATGAGTTCCACTTTTTGAATTGAATTACCAAAATAAACAAACATATCAAACATACCTTATACAATAACCTCTTCTCTAGTCTAGACCTTAAGAAAAAAATCAAGGGCGAACATAATTCTCCTGAGTAACAATCTTCTATCAGAACTGTTCCAGGTATTTTGTCTGTCAGGGAGGACCATGAAGATTATTGATCAGGAAATGAAAGAATGTAGTTCAAGAAGCCTCAGGTGCTGTTCAGGAAGTCATACAGGAGGGAAAAAATAGACCCCCCCCCCCCTTATGTCTCTGATGTTTCACCCTCCATGTTGTTTTTCTTTCACTTTCCTTCTTGCTCTGTAAACAACAACGCATCCTTAATAGGAATTGGAAAACAAATTCAATTCCCATCAATTTTATTTTTATAGTGCCAAATCATAATTAAGTTTTCATCTGTCTGTTTGTTGACCATAACCCTAACCCTGGGGATTGGGGCCTGGGTCACGAAATAATGTTTACATCTTATTTAAATAATCCCATAAGCGTGTATGATCATTTTGATATATGCGCTCTACCTACCATTCCAGTTTAGTAGCTGAAAAGATGAAAAGAAAGAGACATTGTGAACTATGTATGGAAAGACAGATGATTCATGATATTGTCTGAGTCAGTGTGGGTATAAGTTTCTCTTTTCATGCTGCCTCCAGCCTGTTGCCATTTTCTAAATCCCTTTTGGTATAGGAACCAAAGAGAGAAACCTAAGCAGATATTTTTACATCTGAAGCAGCAGCAGGAGATTGTCCGGGTCAAACTCATTCACAACAACAGGAACATATGAGGGGTGGAGCCTGTAGAGCAGCAGGAGGCGGGACATAATGTATAAATTCTGCTGTGGAAAGATCAGTGTTGTTGTTTACAGCACATCCACACAGCGTCGTGGTTAGCGCTGTCACCCCACAGCAACGTGATGATGAAGCTGATGGGTGGCTAGGACCTCTCTGTGTAGAGATGTTCTCCCTGTCTTTGTGTAAATTCTCTTCAGGTTCTCCAGCTTAGAGTCCAAAGATATGCAGGTTTAGTCAGAGACTCTAAAGTTCCTGTAGGTGTGAACTAATGGTAGTGTTTCTCTGAATGTCGGCCTTGTGATATGCTAGAATTTTGTGCAGGGTCTGGCCCAGTGTCAGCTGGTATTGCCTCTAGCAGCTCCACAACCTTCAACAATAAGCAGTGTACACAATGGATGGATTCATCTTTCGTTTCTTTCCTCTGCCTTCCAGTTTGAGGACAGTTTAATTTCATTCTTGCTCTGCAGTTCTGCTGTTAAACAACTGCATTTATATAAGTAAAAGGATTGATAAGTTGAATGTCACAAATAAATAATTTTCAAGTCAAATTTATTTTGAAACCACATCTCTGTCTGTCTTGCCCAGGTGCCAGCCTGCCAAAGCCCCAGGTGAAGACGGCCTCTCTGGGTCAGGCTGGTAAGGCTCGATCGCCTCTACTGCCTGTCTTGGTCCCGACGGCGCCAGACTTCCCAGAAGAGGGAGAAACGAAACCTGCTGAGGATTCAGCTGCCAACGTGAGTCCAGACAAAATTACATTTAATTTTTATACCAGAGGTATTATACTGTGTCCACGTCAAACATTGTCCCATTTGGATTCAGCTTGATTTGCTGTGATGTGAATTTCAGTGGGGAGACATTTTCAAACATTAAGCCAAGCAAAGTGCAACTTGCCACAACAAACAAACTGAATGGATTTACTCATACAAAAACCCACACAAATGTATATCACTGCGAGACCTTGGTGGAGCTATGTGCTCTAGTGTCATTCTGGTTATTTTTATATTACAAATAACTGTAATAATCATCGACAAATCCTAACCCTAACCCATCTGAAAGACACAACTGGAGGAGTTTGAGACTTTAGTTTTTAGTTCTGGATCTCACACACACGCACACACACAGACAGACACACAGACAGACACACAGACAGACAGACAGACAGACACNACACACACACACAGACAGACACTCAAACACACACACATGCACAGCTTTGTCACTACACCTGTTTCCCCTTCATGTAGTGTGTAGGTGGTTTTTCATTAGTGACTGAACCTGTGGAGAGCAAGGAAGGTAGAGAAGGAGGAGGGGAGAGAGAACAATGAAACAAGAAAACTGTGAGGGGGAGAGAAATGGAAAAGGGAGGGAAGAAAAGAGAGGATGCGAGGATGGGTACAGAAAATAATGTTAAAGGGGGAAGTGGGTGAGGGAAAACAGACGTGGAGGCAGAAAATGGAAAAGAGAAAAGGTGGCAAAGAGGATGACATGAGGCTGGAGAACTGATGAATGAAAGCAAATAGGGAGAGTGGAGGAGGGAGAGAAATAGATGAAGGGAGGAGGAGGGGAGGGCATAAGTGGACAAGGGATGAGATAAATGACAGAAAATGATGTGCAGGGATGCTGGACGTCAGGACTTGTTAAATATTCATGCTGACTCAGTGACAATAGGACAAACTGAGGCGTCACCACGGTAATGGGAAGAGAAGAATTCTTCAGGATGATCAGACTAGGAAAAGAGAGGAAGAAAGGAAATGAAACGAGGAGAGGAAAGGTGTAAGGGAGAAAAGTAAGGAGGAACGTAAAGGTAGACAAGCAGGGGGTGTCGTCCTAGCAACAGGAAGAGAGAGGGATGCTCCGGGGGGAAGAAGGATGGCAGAATGAGGATACAGAAAGGTGAGATATAACAGAAAAGAAAATTAGAGGATGGCAAAGAGAGGAGATGAGGAGGGCAGAGGGAAGGAGGAGTGAAGGAGATGGAAGATGAGAGGAAAGACAAAAAAGAGGACGAAAGATCTGATAAGGAAGAGTGGAGAAAATGAGATGGAAAGATGGTTCAGAGGAGAGAGTGATAAAGGTCAGCAGGTCTTTCTCTTCATCTGCTCCTCTATCTCTGTAATTGATCTGGTCTTTTCCCATCAGCCCCTGGCCTATCCATCTCATCCTCCACACACACACACACACACACACACACACACACACACACACACACAGTTAATAGACTGTGACACACACTGTGGGTAAAGTCACTACAGTGCTTTTATTATGTTGTTAGAGCAGTGACATATTTGAAAGTAGGACAGCAGGAGGGTGCAATATGGAAAATGTTCCCTCAGCACAGAGCTCATTGGTTCCTATAAGATATGAATCTTCAAAAATGACTCACAGATGAATAGTTTAATTTCCTTTTAAAGACTCAATAATTTCATAAAACAGCTGAAGGGTTTTTAATAACAAGTATGAACTTGATCAGGACGAAATGCTGTTGGAGACTAAGTTAAGCTGCGAATTAATTACAGCCTGACTTACAGAGATGATTGGGGGCAGAACACTGGCTGTGAGATAAACAAAATTGGCGGTCACTGATTCCTAAGATGTCCTCATCATACAATTCAGATAAATAAATATAACTGAAGTATTTTACATTTTAACCATAGATTTTGTTGTAAATAACTATAAAGAAAAATAAAGCACAAACACAACCAACTATTAAGAACATACATTTATTTTTTATGTAAAATGTAAACATCTTTTCTGCATAATAAACATTGTCTTGATCATTGTAATCATGGAAAAAGAAATAATAATAATCGAAACGAGAAAGGCATTCTGAGAGCTCACACCTCATCCATAATTTATCAACACAGTTGTCAGAATAATGTAAGTGATCTTTAACTTTTTCTCTGTTGCTGCATTGTATATTTGTGTGCAGCTTTTTGTTACGTGCTCATCATCCACAAAGTTATCACCGACCACACAGACAATGAGATCTAAAGTATTTTTCTTCATTGTTTATTTTGTATAGTAAGTTTTCATATTGTCAAACATGAACGCAGATAATAATTTGCGTGTGGAAGACTTGTATCAACTGATTTTTACCAACCAACCAATACAATTCATAATCTTCATGTTTTGTTTTGTGTATTTCAGGCAATGTGTGAAAAGAATTACACTGTTATTGAAAGTAGTAAGAAATCCTACATCCGCCCCTTTGTCCTAATTCTCAACAAAATTTTCTGTTTTCTGTTTAACAAGGTGAAACGGGCTTGAGGTAATACAACCATGTCTGTATCTACTATTTGTGTCCCTGTTGTCTTAGTAGAAAGACTTTAACAGTTTAACACTCTTGCTGTTCAGCTGGGAAATTAGTGTGAAGCTTGAGACATGGACATTTTTATTATGTAAATCTGCAATTGTGTGAAACTTGTGCTTGTCAACCCTAACCCTAACCTGAAACAAATAAAGGACAAGCAAACTGTTGCTGCTTGTCCCGAATCTCCCGAATCATTGATTTGTCATCGGTTAAAGAACCACATGGATTTAAAACTACGCAGAGTCAAAGAGTGTTGACTTTATGTTGTCCCAGTTTAGGACTTTATAAATAAACGTTTGAGTCTGTTAATCAACTCATACAAAACCTTTTCAGTTCCGCATATAACACAACCAAAAGTAGTGCTTAGTTGAGAGGAGTCAGATCGAGAAAGAACAATTCGATCATCTGTACTCGTATGAAATGTGCACACCAGCATGTTGGCTTGAACTCAGTTTATAGCTGCACAGCATCACCATCCTCACTAAATTCTACTTGATTACATGACCCAATTACTTTGTTTTGTACCACACACACTGAGGACTAGAAAAAGCAGTTGGTGTGTTCGCTTTTTGCTGGTGAACTGGCTGCGACTGGTTGACCACGTTTAACTGTCAGAGCCCGGTTGTTATTGAGCCTCACCGATGAGTTAAATGAAGGCGATATAAAAATCTATATATGACTGGAGGGAGAGTGTCACTGAAAACCAGTCCAACGCTGACCCAACATGACTGTGTGGTCAGGTTAAAAGCTTTAACTGGACCAGACAGATTTATCAGCTCAGCTCTATCAGGGTGGAAACTGAATTTGTCAGGTTTAAACACAGTCTACAAGCAAGTTCTGTAGCTTTACAGGAGAAATACAAATGTCCCTAAATACAAGAAAAACTGTAGAACCAAGCTCTATCCGTATAGTTTTAACATTGTTCTTAATGTCCAAGAACTTAATTTTAGGAACACTTTTACAGTAGCTGCACTTCTTGGCAGTGACTCTTCTTGGTAAAGCTCATATTTATGCAGGATCAATGCATTATAATGGAAGGTTTGTGCATTAATACAGACCTTTGGGTTTAAGTGTGAGAAATATGTTTGCCGTTATCGGTTTTCCACAGCCCTGAGGAGAATATTGAATTTTTTTTTCAACTGCAAGGACAAACTCTGCATGAAAGCCACGCTCAATATAACACAGAGTGTATATGGAAGAGATGTGCACTTGACTGTCGGACTGTCTGACACACACACACACACACACACACACACACACCACAGATGGAGGCACTTAAGCCGGTCCACTCAGAGGTGACAGTTTGTATAGCTGAACCAAACACAACATTATACACAGTGATCACAGAGTATCTGCAGGATTAAAGTGCAGCCATTCACATTGGTACTGTGTCCTTTCCTTTGTAACTACACCTCCAGCATTTTTGTTAACACAATATCACTGGGTCTCACTCTTCCGCCTCTAAGACATCAAATTTAGTGTATTTGATAACCCTAACCCTGAAAACAACAGACTTGTGGTTGTAAAAATCAAACCCTAACATGCTATGAAGCATCACCCTCTGCATGGCTGTGCTCAAGTCTCGTCACATGGTAGCAACCGTGCCCAAAGTCTGGTTTAGAGGTAGTTCAGCCATCGTCTTCACTGCTGCTGCTAAGCGCACAGTAACAGTGAGCAGTCTGGTTACAGATTTTACTGCTCTGCTCTCCCTTTGCATCTCTTCTGTATTTCTATAAGGATTTCTTCGCAGTTAGTTCCCCTAACGACCAGATTAGATTTTGACTAGTTTGAATGTTTTCAATTATTAAAGAAGACATATTCTGTTCATGTTCAGGTTGAAAATGTTAATTATGGTTATTATTGTAAAATGTTTACATACTCTAATGTTCAGAAAACACCTTACTTCCATATCCATTGCTGCAGCTCCTCTTTACAGCCTCTGTCTCAAACATTGGTTTTAGCTCCTGATTTGATGCACAATAGACAAAGATGAGCAGTAATCCAAGTTACCACACAAACATTCAGGCCGGAATTTATAACACTTACATGTAACCTCTACTTGTTGTCTTTCAGGTTTACGAGCAGGATGATCTGTCTGAGCAGATGGCCAGTCTAGAGGGACTGATGAAGCAGCTCAATGCTATTACTGGTTCAGCCTTCTAACCTTTGACCCCCGCCAGGCCCAGCCCTCTGTCACAGTCCAGTCTGGAACACTTCTTCAAGCCTCAATGTCACCTGCTGTCTCTTAGCTAGCAGCAATGGGTCATTCTGGGTTAGAAAAGATCTCTGTGAAACCTGCCTCTCTGCTCAGTTGCATTTGTTTGGTTTCTACTGGTCTGATCTTGTGTCTGCTGTTTGGGACCAGGATTGGACAACAGGTAACACAGAATAGACTCTACAGCAGCACAGCATCAACTGCAAGAACAGGACAAGGGTTGAAGGGCTTCTTTAGGAGTTCAAACTGAAACCCCATAAGACCCTTCGACCTCAATCACAAAACTAGAAAAACCCAACGCCTAGAGCCTTGACATAACAAAACAGGAGGAAAGGATTTTCACAAAAAAGAAGTTACATTTTTACGAGCCCTCCTGTTCCTCTTTATTGTATTTATACACGCCCTCCTCTGCTGAGTTCTGCACAACTCAGTTACTGTGACTGTACTTAACTTATTTTACATTACTGTTGGAAGTACTCCTATGTTCCACACTTTTCTTTTGGGTACTTTATCTTTGTGCAGTTACCGGATGTGTATATGGTTTTTAAAAAGAACCAGGACCTACATCATGAAAGAAAGAACACATCCTCAGCCACCAAAGTTTCAACAAGACTTAAATTTTTCTTACCTGGATCCAAGGATGTCTGTCGCGGTCATGTGTGAGGATCCTTACTGGCATTTTTTGGCCATACCTTGTTGTTGTTCCACTCTTGAAGTGGACAGTGTGATTTCATTGAACCATCCATCATTCATACCTCATGCAGCCCGTCCACATCCTGATCCTGAGGTTAAAAGAGTATTTGAACCTTCTGGACTTGTCTGAAACATCTGGATCAGGATCTACCTGAATTTACTCTATAAGGACATTATCAAAACCTCTATAGACACCCACAATCTTGCTGCTCTTGACAAAGTCTATACTCTCCTCACCCCAGATACAAACCCCATTTTCCTACGAGGACTTGTGTTGTTGTCAAATTTTCATAATATAAAGCTCCTTGGGACCTTCTTTGTTTTTGCCCCTTGTTCAAGTCTGTCTCACCCCCAAACATCAAATGTTGAAAGATATCTGGATTTTGATTGGTTGAAACCATCCCTTAATGGAAAAACGAAGGTTCGGCTTAGGATGGTACTAAGAAACCTTGTGTCACATGAAGTCCATGATTCCCCCCTGCTGGCTGAAGTGTGGAAGTGCATGCTGTTTTGACTTTTGAAGGAGCATTTAATGAGGCAAGGTTGTTCATAGAAATTGATTTTGAGCACCATCAAAATACATTATGAAGAGAAAGAGATAGAAAATGAATCCTCACAAGTTAGTGTTTTGTCTTAATTGATAATTAAAAATGAACATCACTCGTTTAAAAGTTTAAAATCAATCAGGATCTTGAAAGAAATGGGACGAGCTACTTGCCACACCCAACGTCATTCCCTGTCCAAGTAAGATTGAATGGGAATCGGCCATCACTCTAATGAAATAGTCAATTGTCAAGATATCATAGCAACAGGATTATAATAATAGCTTATTATAATTATAATGATTATTGTTTAGGTTAGCTGGGGCGGTGGGGCTGATACAACACTTAATATTTCAGCGCAGTTTCAGTTCCTGTTTGACTGGAAGTGAGTGTGTTGTATTTGGGCCTTTGTTTGATGAATCCAAAACTATTTTTCATGAGATAAAACACACATGTACCTCTGTTGACACAGATTGCCCACATGGGGAAATTGCAAAACTGCCAACTTAGCTTTGAGTTTACTTCAGGTGTTTCCATTTTTATATGAAAATAAGAAAAAAGACAAAAACAATAATCAATAGGAAATGACACATATTCCACAAAGTATATTTTTACATTCGTTGTCAAGTCAGAGCTGTTTCATTTTTTTCAAATCAGCCTTTTTTGTTTTGAAAAAACATTTCTGCACAGAACTGTTTTAAAATGTTGTGAACTTCAACAACGATAAAAACACAGCCCAGAGTTGCACACAGTCATTTTTAATTTAGAATTCAACCATTACCAATAATATTTTTTCCATCTTCTTAAAAATCTTTAAAATTGTGGAATAAGGGAATCTAACATGCAGAGCTATGACCTCTGTGACATTAGGTCAGTCAGGACATGATGCAGATAACAGCCACTTAACTTTTTTAAAACAGCTAGAATCTTATCAGCAGGAAAGAAAAATCAGTGTGAAAATAAATTGATTGGCAAGGGACATATTTGTTTTGGTATAGCTCCTCAACAGTAGATTAATGTTAAACATTGCAGTGCCCTGTAAAAAATATCTGGTTCAGTCATAGAATTGTTTTCAGATGATTGAAGTGATCTTCCAAATGGGTCAACATCTTTTTTTATACTACTGCAATATTCAGTTTTTCAAAATAGAAAAAATGTTGTGTTTAAAAATGTTCTGAATTAGTAGAAACAAGTAGAACCCCCCCAATTTCTGAGCATGTGACAAACAATTTATAAAGATGGATATTTTTGGAGTGTGCAAGAAAGAAGGAAGTAAAAATTAAAAATGATTAATTAGTCAGCGGAGGGGGAAAAACAGGCCAGTAGTTAGCTCTAAATTTAACAATGTCTCTCCAGCCATTGTAATGTAATTTACAGATATTTATCTTTCTGTGATGAAAAGAAAAAGCCTGAGGGAGAAGAAGAGGGTGGATGTGAATGTGAATCTGCAAAGGTGGTTTTCATGTGAGTGAGGGCATGGAGAAACGAGGCCTGGAATTCATTATATGGCTGTTTCAAATATTATGATTCAAGCTCACACTCTATTGGCGGTTACAGCAGCAGGGAGAAGTGCCATGGACAGAGTGGATGGAAAGGTAATGTCTGCAGAACGAGTGCAGGGTTGAAAGGTGAACCGATGCAGGCAGGTGGACGGCACGGGATCAAACTCATCAGTGTGTTCTGAGAGACATTATGAGCCGAACACTTTCATTCTGCTCAGGGTTGTTCATGTTCTTCTCCTGAATGCAGAGCTTAGGGAATTATTACAGTTAAATGATCATACTGGAGGTTTTACACATTTTAGCCTCTTGAATTTGAATGACATTACATATCAGTATTGCTAAATACTTTCCAAATTGTCCATCACTTCCTATGTTGATTTCCTCCCTTTCAGGCAGCTATTAATTTGCTGAGGTTGCGATCAGATTTAAAGTGCAGGGACTTCGAAACTGCAGATCCACATAAACTCAATCAATTGTGTAAGACATTTAAACAAAATCAACTCCTAGAAATCTTTTTTTTTTTTGAAAAGGAAAACATTAAAACATCACTATGCAACTTTTGTACCTTCAAAATAATTGTTGTTCTTAACAGACCAGCAGAGGGCGACTCCACTGATTGCAAATAGAAAGTAGTCACTGTTGGTATAAGTTGTTATTATCAGTCACATCGACATTGTAAAAAGTAACATGGACTGCAGGTCCAGAGAGTGAAGGTTATGCAGAAGCACTCAAAACCTGTCTTCTGTGTAGTGACCAGTAGGGGGAGACTCGACTGGTAGTTTCTATAGAAGTCTATAGAAAATCACTCTACTCACTTTATAACGTCAGTAAACATTTTCCTAAGTAGTTTATGTCTCAATCTCTTGTTTGAAGTCTTCTTCAATACAGCTGATGTTCATTTAGTACATTCTGATCCATTTAGATTTAACTAGACCAAAAAGCATGGGACGTTTGGGGGTAGATATCACAGTGTGATTGACAGCTAGTAACCTCCAATAGGTGCAGGTTAAAGGTGTAGGTAGGTAGGTAAGTCAGACTCCACCCCCCACTCCTCTTAATATGATTATTTCAGGTTTTAAGAAAACAAGATGGAGCTGGATAAAATCTAGAGGGAGCTTTGTCTGTAACTAGTGAAATACTTGAGTTGCAGTTGGAACACTGGGTGTGAGATCAGGCCCAGTCTTCTAAATGCAATGAAAGGTAATGCTCTCGGCTAACCTCCATGGAAAAAAACTACATTAAGAGACAGAGAAGCTAACAATTAGCACTTTTGGCACAGACTGGAGCATAGTCATCACCAATCAGCCCTGATTTCCTTAATGTTGACATTGAAAACAGGTAAACTGGATAGGTTGAGTTTGTTGAAGACATTTCACTCATCATCCAAGAGGCTTCTTCAGTTGTAACTGATGCTGGAGTCTTAGGTATTTAACTTGTAGGGTCATTAGAAGTCATTTAGTTTACCCGAGAGGCTGGACCCACAGTGCTGTTGGCGTCACTATATTGTACATGTTGACTGTGAAGGATTACAAATCTGTATATGTATTCTTCACATTTCACTCAGGTTCTGTTTGATTATGGAAGGGTCTCAGGTCTTGTGTCAGCTGTTAAAACTCAAACATACTTTATTTTCCCAAAAACTATTTCGGATGAATATTACATGATATGCAAATAGTTCAAATTTATACTTCAGATGGCCGTATGTGCTGTTAGATGGAATATTTTGAATTTTCAGAGATCATGCACTGTTTGAATAATAACTTTTCAGCCCATGCTCGAATGAATGTTCAAGTATCCCATGAAAAGTGACTGCCTTAATCCACATTGAAATGAAAGTAATGTGCGCACTGGCTTCAGTTCCTAACTCTAACCCTCCTTTTTGACCCACAAAGTCCTCTACTTAGTCTCTGCAATAAAGGAATGACCTGAAACCACAGCCTGCCTGGAAGGAAGGAAATAATTTCATAAAAGTGAAACAGGACCTTGAAAACAATCAGCAGGGCTGGAAAGTTTGATTCATATAAGTGAGCTAAAAGAGGGAAAACCACTGGTATGGTCCTATGGGTTTGGTGTTTACATGAGAGAGAACTCGCCATGTCTACAAAACATTTTTAAGCAGTGTAGTCACATTTAAATGGCTGATTAAGTCTTGTAAGTCGATGGCATTACCAATCAGCTGCCAGAAAATCAGGTCATGTTAAATATCCTGATGATCTCAGTTGAGAAATTTGCGCCCGTAGGTCCACATCATTCATCAAGACAGATGTTATTAAAATGTACAGACACACACACACACACATATATATACTTTCAGTGCCAACATCCTCTATGTCAGACATGTCAATTATCATGACCCTTTTACCCTTTTGAGTTTTTGCTGCCAGCTAGATGAAAGTCCATGTGCCTTTACTTTTCACCAGTGAATTGTTTTTCTTCTACTGTATTTAGTCAGTTTATTTAGAGGTCTTTGTGAAATGTTAAAGTGCGCTCTGTTATGTTAATTAGTTTTTTCTACACAGTCATTACAAAGGGAACAGATGAGACGGTCGACACAGCTGAGGGCTTTTCCCGAAAGCACCATTTCCCTTTTGAACTGTGAGACTTGAAAGAAAAGCGGTTCTGTCCCTTCAGCAGCGCAGATGCAACGTTTGAGTAGCTGCCTGGAAACAGACACACATCAGATGCTTGATGACGGGGGATCATCCTGTAGCCAAAGTATCTCACAAAACAGCCTGCGTGGCTCTCATAACATCTCAGGAGCAAAATCCCCCAACGACTGACGTTAACAAAAACATATCTTTCTTAACAAGTTTCCCAGTTAACGTAAGGGATAGCAAAAAGTTTCTGTAACTTGAGAGAATTCAT